AGGACATGGGAACAGCCTAAATGTCCATCAACAGATGAATGGATACAGAAGATGTGGCACATAAATACCATGGAATATTACTCAGCCACTAAAAAAGAATGAAATAATGCCATTTGCAGCAACATGGATGGACCTGGAGATTGTCATACTGAGTGAAGTCAGACAGAGAAAGACAAATATCACATAATATCACTTATATGAGGAATCTAAAAAGAAATGATACAAATGAACTTATTTACAAAACAGAAACAGACTCACAGACTTAGAGAATGAAATTATGGTTACTGGGGGGAAGGATGGGGGGAGCAATAAACTGGGAGTGTGGGATTGACATGTACACACTACTACATTTAAAGTGGATAACCACCAAGGTCCTTCTGTAAAGCGCAGGGAGCTCCGTTCAATATTATGTAACAACCTAAATGGGAAAAGCATTTAAAAAAGATAGATACATGTATGTGTATAACTGAATCACTTTGCTGTACACCCGAAACTATCACAACATTGTTAATTAACTATACTCCAGGGCTTCCCTGGTGGCACAGTGGTTGAGAATCTGCCTGCTAACGCAGGGGACACGGGTTCGAGCCCTGGTTCGGGAGGATCCCACATGCTGCGGAGCGGCTAGGCCCGTGCGCCACGGCTACTGAGCCTGTGCTCTAGAGCCTGTGAGCCACCACTACTGAGCCCACGAGCCACAATTACTGAGGCTGTGCTCTAGAGCCCACGAGCCACGGCTACTGAAGCCCGCGTGCCTAGGGCCCGTGCACTGCAACGAAGAGTAGCCCCCGCTCGCCGCAACTAGAGAAAACCCACAGGCAGCGACAAAGACCCAATGCAGCCAAAAATAAATAAATAAAAAATAAAATAAAATGTTAAAAAAAAAACTATACTCCAATATAAAATGAAAAGTAAAAAAAAAAAAAGAAATCTGCACCCCATCCTGAGTCAACAGGGATCCCGGGGGTGGGAGAGGGGGAGGTCACAGGATGAGATGTTCAGATTTGTGTTGGGGTGAAATCACTCTGAATGCTTAGGTAGGTGGATTGTAGGCAGCAGGGGCAGACGCAGGCCTGCCTGTTCAAGAAGCCGCTGTAGACTTCTAGCTGAGAAATGGGGGTGCCCCCCCCAGTGTATGCTCTTTCTACTAAGCCACACTGCACACCCAGCTTATTTTCTTGTATTATTTTTGGTTACACACACACACACACAGACACGGCCCCTGACCAGACTGGAAACCTATTAAGGAATGCACTTATCTTTGAGTTAGCTCCCTGCTGTGTCTAACGCCATGCCTGGCAAATTCTGAGGGCTGAGGAAAGGCCGGCTGCGCTGAGCTTTTTAACATATCAAAGTCTAAATCTGCCTGCTACCTAAAATACACCAGCGTCAGGTGCTGGTCTTAATTATACATGCACCAGCTCGGAGCTGGATTCATTACTCACATCTCTGTCACAACACCACAAAGCTTGAAGAACTTATATACCAACAGGGAGAACTGAGCTAACAGGGACTTGAGTAGGTAGAAAACAGTTTCCTAAGAAAGCTCAACGCCATCCTTCAAGGGGTAGATTTCAAATGCTCAAGAGAAAAGAAATAAAGTAACCTCAAGGCAAACGGCTGAAAACTGATTTTGAGAAAAGAGAAACGAGGATGCCCTAGGTGAATCCAGAGAATCATTTTCCACTTGCCAACGTGAGCGCCCGATAAAGAGTTACCCCTAAGGCCTGACCAACACAATGAGACAATACGACTGGATCTCCAATTTACTGAAAATGTAAAAAAGAACAGGTAATCGGACTGATATCAAAAGTCTCAAATTCAGGTAAAGGATTCAATGTATGAACATCGCAGAATTTCAGTGAAGGGGCTATATGATCACAGCATTTCCAAATCAGTCTAATTCTAAATCACACTTAATATATTTCAAACTGCTGAGGATTCAAAACCAAATCTACCCAAATCCAAAGCTGGGGATTTGCTCCCACCTAAAGGAAAGACTGCACTGAACAGGAGTAAACAACCCCTTAGTAGCCCTGTGCTTCAGAAAGGAAATAAAGAGCTGGGAGGGACTAGCCTGCACTTCAAAGCACATGAGTCTGCTACTTTCCCTGACTTCACGTTCTCATCCTGTACAATCTCTAAAATTTTCCATCACTTTTCTAGTATATAAAAAAGAAAAAGAGCAGTGGATTTCTGAATAACTGGTCTAAAGTCCAGTTTCTCTTCCATAAGCAGCTCATCAGAGATTTGAAAACAAGATTTCTGATGTTTAAAATGTTGTGGATTTCAACATTTAAATGTGACAAATGCATCCTTGGGCATGGAAATGTTAATCATTATTTGATTACTATTCCAAGCTGCTAGAGAATGTAAGTAATTAACAGATAGAATATTCTCCACCTGCAGAAGCCAGTTCTCACAGTCAGAGAATGCATGATGGCTGTCTAGAAGCAGAAAACAGACTTTAAAAACATAGATTACATTAAATGAAATACTTAATGCTCATTTTTATTACTTCTAGATAAACTGCTTGGAATTCAGGACTTCTTCTTACTGTGGGAATGAAAAACAAATTAAATTCCAATATCATTCCTCTTAAAAGAGATTACAGGGACTTCCCCGGTGGCACAGTGGTTGAGAATCCACCTGCCAATGCAGGGGACACAGGTTCGATCCCTGGTCTGGGAGGATCCCACATGCTGTGGAGCAACTAAGCCTGTGTGCCACAACTATTGAGCCCGCGTGCTGCAACTACTGAAGCCGGCGTGCCTAGAGCCAGTGCTCTGCAACAAGAGAAGCCAGAGCAATGAGGAGCCCTCGCACGGCAACAAAGAGTAGCCCCTGCTCGCCGCAACTAGAGAAAGCCCGCGTGCAGCAACGAAGACCCAACGCAGCCAAAAATAAATAAAAATTAAAAAAAAAAGATATTACAGGCCAACATTTTAGTTTATATACCTGTCTGTAAATAGGAGCAAGCAAAGACTTATCAGCCACATGTTCAAGGCCTTAAGAACAGGCTCTGTGCTCTTCTCATGATCAGTTAATGGAGAAATATCCTTTGCTTGAAAGAAACAAAGCTGGAATCTTAAGACTAAATAAACACTCAAGAGTAAAAGAAGGGATTTTATTTCCTTGTCTTGTTGTCACCCAAAATAATAATCTTTTCCAAATGGAGAGTAGAGATCCTGAATGATTAAATTTTAAAAGAAGTCAACCTTTTCTGTTTCCCAGGCAAAGGATTATTTCTCTGCAGTTAACTTAGTAGATAGTTAACAATCATCTTCGTTGTCTGGGCGTAATTTCTGGATGAGAAACACAGCCTAGTTACTACTTAATTACCTCTATTTTTTGTGGCGCCGTTAGCAGGACAGAAGCAACCAAGGATCCCGCAGAAGCCCCGGCAAAGGCCTTGACATTTTTCAGGAGCTTTTGGCCGTGTTTGTAAAGTGCGGATGCTGCCCCCAAGTGGTAAATGCCCAGAAACCCACACGCTGCAAACGACAAGTTGATGTGCTTCATTGTAGCTGTGAAATTGGTGACACAAAACCCAAAAATGCCCGTTAAGTTGGCATAGTTTGTTCCACATGCTGTGTACTCTTATGCTAGTCATCATTCCAAGGCTTTCTTTTATATACAGAATTCTCTGTTCTAAGCATAATCTTTTCAATTAAAGTCTAATTAATCACCCAAATCTTTCAAGGAAACTTTTCCCTCTCCCACCTTGACCCACTACAATCATATTAATTAACAAAAAAAAAAAAACTACAACAGTCTATATTTGTTCAGTACATAGACTATGCAACCTACTTTTTAATTACTTGGCAAAAACCAAATGGTTAAATTCCCATTGGCAAGGCACTTGGTCCTTTTTTCTTGACCTTTTGATACTTTTGGGGGTGTGGGCTACTGGTAAAATCATTAGAGCAGGGAGCAAACTTCAAATGAAAGACACATTTGCTCTTTGCGAGTGCATCAGTGAATTTAAAACATATGTCTCGACTCCCCACCGTTTCCATCGTCAGCATCCGTTTTTTGTTGCTGTTGTTTTGTTTTGTTTTTTTTAACCTGATGCTCTCAGTTATTCAATAATGCAATACTCAATTATTCAACGATGCAGTGTATTTCATAGCCAAGTTTCTCAAGACAAACTGAGGTCATGACTGGCGAGGGCAACTGGAGGCTCAAAGAAATGACATCTGCATCACCTGATACTTGCAACAAATCTAACAATGAAACTATTTCACGAAACTTCAGGGGGAACGATTTCACCACGTGTATAAAACAGTGCCCCCCCCAATTGCTCCCCCTGGATGCCCTCAGGGGTTTCTCGGGGGTCCCGGGACCTTCAGACTAGGCACTTGGTCCCGGCCTGGAATTTAGGAACCGAAAACACTCGTTCTGATGCGCAGAGCCAGGCCCTGTGCGAAAGGAGGCTCAGTCGCTGCAGCCGAGCCCCGGTTTGGGTTTAATTTCTTCAGACTGGAGAGCGCAGAAGGGGATGGGTCTCCAGGGGGGCCGACCCATCGTACGCAGGCCCAGTGCCCCCCCTATCCTGTGGTCTGGGGGTGGCGGGACGAGGGTCGCTGCTGCAACACCCCCAGGGATGCCTACACGGACCCACTCGCCCGGGAGCCACCTCCGGAGGGCCAGAAGCTGCCCCTCGCCCGCCCCGCATTCCGCCCTACCAATGCAGGTCTGAGGCATTTCCGTGTAGAACTTCGTCCCCCGCCACTCCCAGCCCGCCATCCCTTATCCGGAAGGCGGGGCCGGGCCGTCAGTCAACCGGGCCGTGCCTATCAGGGCCGGACCACGCCCGCCCAAGAAGCTTCCGCAGAAGGGATTGAGGCCGGACTACCCGCGCGGGTCTGTGACGTCATCGCGCCGATGCGTGCGTCCGCTAGGCTCCGCCTGCTCCACTTAAACCGCTGGACTCGGCCTGGTGGCGCGCCCTCGGCCGCTTGACCTTGGTGTCCCCTAGGGCGGGTAAGGGATAAGACTTTCTGGTCTCGGGTCATACTGTCTTCGGATACCTCGGGATGCATTTTAGTCCCTATGCGCCACGTGCGGGCCGGCCTTCACCTGCAAGTCTGCTCACCCTGAACGACCCTCATTTTCTGTGCACCGGAAGTGCTTGGCCTTCTTGGCGGCTGCTCCCCGGCAGTGGTTTCCCTCCCCCCTCAGCCTCGGGGCGGTTCAGCTGTCCGTGTAAGGGCGGGGTCTAGGGGCTAGGTTGGGATTGGATGCCCCGCAGCTTTTGGAAGACTCCCTCAGATATTTCCTTAAGCATTGTTGGAAAGGTCGCACTATGGCTTTGGGCAGCGTTCACATCCGTAGCCCTCCTTAAGCTGTGTGGCCTTGGGTGGGTCGTATGACCTCTCTGAGCTTCCCAGGTGACTTCTCTGCAAAATGGGATGGTAAAATCCGAGTTGGTGCTAAATCGTAACGTTCATGCTGCATAGCAGGGCTTCAGCAGACCAGCCTGTGTCGTCTGGTAGCACCACTGGCTCTGGGTAGATCTGAGAAGCACCTTTCTAAGGCGACCCACTTGGCTTGCATTCGCGCGCGGATTCAAAGGACTGACAATTCCTTCTCTCCCTCAACAGTGTCTTCCCTATCTAATCCTAACAAGCAAGCCTTAAGGAATTGCAGAGTTTCTGGTTGAAGGTTCTCCAGGCCCCCTTGTTAAAGGACAGATTTACGCTGACTGAAGTACAGAAGAGAATCCGAAAAACACGTGTCTCTACCTTAAGCAGGAGTGGGAGTGGGTGGGAGCTCCCCAGATGGCCTTTACCTTGGCCTTTTTTCTTTCTCCCTCATTTGGGATGCTAGTGACCTGGGCTCTGGCCCACAACACTTTCTGTAAGCAAGAACGCTGGATGTCATGACTAAGGAAGAGATCTCTTGTTTATTCTTGTAAGTAGACTTCCGAGACAGCTGTTTCTGCAGGCACCCTAATGCCTATGCATAGCACAGCTGCATTACTCTGAATTCTTTACTACTATTCGAATTTAGTCACGGGAAGGGCAAGTGTGTGTATATCCAGGAAATATAGAAGGACAACCTGTTCATTCTTTTTTTTTTTTTTATTGCGGTACGCGGGCCTCTCACTGTTGTGGCCTCTCCCGTGGCGGAGCACAGGCTCCGGACGCACAGGCTCAGCGGCCATGGCTCACGGGCCCAGCCGCTCCGCGGCATGTGGGATCCTCCCGGACCGGGGCACGAACCTGCGTCCCCTGCATCGGCAGGCGGACTCTCAACCACTGCGCCACCAGGGAAGCCCAAGCTGTTCATTCTTGCCTTCTTCCATTGCCTTCGAACTCTCTGGTAGGGTGTGGTCTTCCCAAGAGAGCTTCCTCCGGGAAACTTACTAGAAAGGAAGAATCCCAGGCCTCAGATCTCCTGAAGCAGAGTCTGCATTTTAACAGCACCCTCAGGCATTGCTCTGCACACTAAAGTTTGCAAAGCCCTGGTCTGACTCCTGGGGTGCTCTGGTTTAAAGTGGTGTGGTGGCATCGAAAATTTAAGGACAGACAAGGTCCACAGAGCCAGAATTTGCAGTGGTGGCCGGGCCACCTATTTCCTGCTTTGGGGCACTGCCAGCAGGTCGATTCAGAAGACAGGTGAGAAATTTGTCGCTGGGGCAGGCAGGACGCACACCACGGCTTTGGGATCCTTTGCTTAAAGGTAAGATGAGATCAGCCGTTATTACCACCCCTGCCGTTGAGTGCGATCCCGCCAAATTTAAGGGTCACAGGAAAAGTGTCCACAAAGCTCCATAACGTAATTCTTAACAATTTAAACTTTTTTTTTTTAACTCTCTCCTCCTTTCTCCCTTCTACCCCATGTCATACCCACATGCAACTAATTAAAAGGTTCCGTTTCCTAAGGTAAGGAAGAATATCATTCATTCACGTTTGTCTTTATAATCTCAGCGCCATGCATGGCACTTGGCACATACTGTGTGATTAACAAATATTTGTTTTGATTGTTGGATTTAAGTAAATTACTCTTGTGATGTGAGTATATAATAATTTAATTGCCTTTTCAGAACATTTTTCAGTAAATATTTTGCCTGGTTTTGCCTCTCTTTTTTCCTTAGTAATTTATAGTTTTTTTTTCTTTTATAAATTTATTTATTTTTAGTTATTTATCTTTGGCTGCATTGGGTGTTCGTTGCGGTGCACGGGCTTCTCATTGCGGTGGCTTCTCTTGTGGAGCATGGGCTCTAGGCGTGCGGGCTTCAGTAGTTGTGGCTCACGGGCTCGGTAGTTGTGGCTCATGGGCTTAGTTGCCCCGCGGCACGTGGGATCTTCCCGGACCAGGGCTCGAACCCGTGTCCCCTGCGTTGGCAGGTGGATTCTTAACCACTGCGCCACCAGGGAAACGCGGTAATTTAGTTTTTTGGGTTTTTTTAAAATTTATTTATTTATTTATTTATGGCTGTGTTGGGTCTTCGTTTCTGTGCATGGGCTTTCTCTAGTTGTGGCAAGCAGGGGCCACTCTTCATCATGGTGCGCAAGCCTCTCACTATCGCGGCCTCTGTTGTTGCGGAGCACAGGCTCCAGACGTGCAAGCTCAGTAATTGTGGCTCACGGGCCCAGTTGCTCTGCGGCATGTGGGATCTTCCCAGACCAGGGCTCGAACCCGTGTCCCCTGCATTGGCAGGCAGATTCTCAACCACTGCGCCACCAGGGAAGCCCCGTAATTTAGTTTTGAACTGGTTTATTTTCTAGCCATTTATCGAACATTTAAGTATCCATTGTTTAACAAACACAGCGCTGGTTCAGGGCACACAAAGTTGACAGGAATTCAGTTCTTTCTCATCTAGAGCCTACAGGGTAGGGAGACAGTCAATGTGTAATTGCAGAGGCATGATCATGTGCTCGTACAAAGCCACACACGGGCGCTGTGCATGTCCACACTGAGCTGGGGGGCAGCAAACCCTTAGCTCTGGGAGGTACCTACGAGAGCAGCTGGCACAGAAACAAAGTGCCCAAGGCTTTCCACATCCCCAGCTTCCTCCCGCAAGATTTGATCATGTATTCTCCTAAAGAGAGAAAGGTATGGGGTAAGGGAGGGATAAGGGATGCTTGCCACACCTCGGCCCCAAGGACTGAGCCTATCGCAAAGTGTCTGGGTGTAATCTTGTGTTCCAGTCTACTGTCCACGCGGTGGCATTTATTTTCCAACCTTGGCATCTTAGCACAGCTGAACAGCTCTGTGGGGCACATGCCATCGTTCCCCGCGACACCCGTACCCTCCCTCCGTGTATGAACTCCTCACCCCTGTCACCCCCTCCCAGAGCCCTGCAAGCTGAACTTGATGCACTTTAAAAGTTAGATGCACAGCCTTTAATTTCAGAGGATTGTGGCCACACCGTTGGCACACACAGCAGCGCCCTTTGCCACAGGGGCCTCGAGGTGATAGCTCGGGTCACCACACCCTCTGTGCCTTGTTGAAGCATTCCCTTGTTTTGAGACCACCGTAGAATTCTGAGCGAGGCAGTTCTGCAGTCGTGGAGTAGAGCGTCCCACGTGAAGCCACAGAGGAGGCTCCATGCCTTCCCACAGGTTGTTGTTTTCTCTCAGGAGGCGCCGCGAAGGCCACCGTGTGGAGGGGCAGCCCGGGAATAAAGGCAGTTTAGAGGGAGTCGGGGCTGAGAGAGGGAGAGAATCTGGCCTAGTAGGTGTGATGGCATTTCTAGAGCCTGGGGATGCAACTGCGACCATCCCTGGCTCACTCCCACACCGCAGCCACCCTTTGCTCTTTGTTTTCTTAAGTGAGTTAGAACCGAGTTTCTAAATCTTGCAAGCTAAACAGATCTCACTAATGTAAGGGCCTTTTCCATTGCACTTGTTTTCTCTCTGTTAGAAATATGCTAGAAGAACCAACTACTTGAAGTAAAACTGGGTGACTCTTCTTGCATAGAGCTGTGATGGTACTTTTGTGATTATGTTTATTTATTTATTTTTTCATTTGGTTTTCTGGCCGCACTGTGCAGCATGCCGAATCTTAGTTCCCAGACCGGGGATCCAACCTGTGCCCCCTTCATTGGGAGCGTGGAGTGTTAACCACTGGACCGCCAGGGAAGTCCCTTGGGTGACTCTTTTCTAAATGGAAGAATACTTTTTTCAAAAAGTATATGAATTATATATGTAATATATTTTCTGTTATATATGTACATATATATGCAAATGTATGTATGTAACCAGGCTGGTGACATTTGAAAACAATTCAAAGCTAGGCGTCCTTAAGAAGTGTAATTTACTTGAGATTGGAGACATCTGAAAGTGTACACTATAGATCATCTTAACATGGCATAGAAACTAAGTATCAAGCTATTTCTATTAGAAAAAAACATTAAAAAATGTAACCTTTATGTATAAGCTTTGTTTTAATTTAATATCTGAAAGATTCCAAATATAATATACACTGAACTGAGAGGTTAAGGTAGAAAGATTTTCTGAGTGTTTCTGTTATTGTATTAGAATTACTTAATTACAGTGCTTGCAGTTGATATTCTGCATAAGTGTGAGATAGAGCAGAGAAGCTTTCAGAATGTTCATACTTAGGAGATATCTTTTATACAAAGGGGGTTTTAGATCTTTGGTAGCCAGGTGTTGGTGTTGTGAAGTGATGGTGGGAGTGGGATACCAAATGCCTGACAGAGGAGTCCTAAATATTTTTAAAAGCCCAATAAAAGAAAATCTGTATTCTCTCTGCCCTGTTTTCTTTGTTGCTAAACAGCTCTGCCCTTGGCCTGGCCGCTTGTGGTCCACAATTGGTACAGATGGTCGGGAATAGTCCTTCTCGTTACCCTTCAGATAATTACCTTCCTGGAGGGGATTATTGGGGAAATAATATCCGTGTCAAACAAGTGATAGCACTGAGTGATAAACAGAATGTCAGCTTTGGTGCCGTATGCTTCATCAGATTCACCAAAATACTACTCTGTTTTAATTTGGAGTACAGGATCTCATCATTACTGATGCTGTCATCAAAAGAAACAGCCTAATTGCCAAAACATCCAATTATCTAATCACCTCACTTCAAAGGGAGAAAATAAGAATTCTGGTGTATTTTGTTTCTGCATCTACTCCTATTTGCTGGAAGCTTATTATTAATAATTATGACACCTGTTGAGGGCCCATTCCATGCCAGTCCTTTGTACCCATTGTCTCATATAACTTTTACAACGGTGCTGACAGACCTTCCTCCCCTACAGTGGTTCAGAAGTGAATTAATGAGCTAGTAAGTTCTTATTATGTGCCCAGGATCGTGCTCTTTGGCCCTTGACGGGTCTCAGAAACTTGTTATTCCTTCAGTCCTTTCTTTGGTCAGAATTTGTAATTGGTCTTCACATTTAGGCATTTATAATTTTACTAAAAAGTGGTAAAAGTGTTTAATAAATGTGATGTATAAGTTTATAACATTTAGGAAAGTTGTTTGCATCTGGAAAAGAAAAAAGAAAAAAAGCAAGTGTAGCAGTTAACTCAAGCTACCCTTTCTGCATTTATCAATTACAGCAGTAAGTCACTCTGATTACTCCTTTTCCTGGAAGCTGTGTCATAAAGTAGGTTATTGTAAAGAGAACATAATTTCCATTAGGAACAGTGTTATAGAAGGGGGTCATGTCATTGACCAGGGTCCTAACTCCAGATAAATCATGTATCTAATCAATTGTATTCATGCCTTTGTTCACTCTTTAAATATACTTTAGTGTCTAATATATGACAAGGACTGGAGTAGGCATTATAAAATTTAAAAAAAATCTTAGTGGATAAACTGTCCATTTTTCGTTAACTGTTTTTTTTACTGGAATGTACTTTCACATTTTTCTACTCTATTAAGTTCTACTTATTCTTCTGGGCCTAAAAAACTCTTTTGTCTCAGTATGTCCTTTTGGATTAAAT